CACACACACACACACACACACACACACACACACACACACAGAGGCAGGGCCAAGAAATAGATTGTCACATAGCCCACAGGAAAACAACATGTCAATACTCTCTGCATGTGCATGACTATGTGTGTGAGCAAACCTAGTTCCGAGGCTCACATTAAACTACACAATAATAGTTTATGTTGAGTATGTCTTTGTGTCAGAGAAAGAGAGATCAAATTGGCATATTAGAGAAAAAGCGGCGAAGTGTACGTGCGTGTGTGTTGATGGTGGCAGAATAAGAACAAAAGGCCCCTCCCTCCCTATTCAAGGCTCTGCCATTGCAGTCTCCCATTTAAACACATTGTATTGACAGCAACCCCCTTGTAATTAAAGAGTACTGAAGAGCTGGCCGGCTTCCAAGACAAAGTTCAAAAGACGGGTCATGGGAGGAAGAAGGCGTGTGTGTGCGTGTGTGTGTGTCAGTCAGCTGTCGATGCAGCTGGACACATCAGAGAGGGGGCTTTATCGACAGACTTTGGGTTCTAATGATTTCAGCTTATTTAACAGGCATCTGAAGAGACGACTATGCTAATTGTAAAAGGGATCGCCACTTTGTTTGGGGGTGGGAGGTGGGCTTCAGGTTGAAAATGTGTGTGTGTGTGTTTGAGTTTGTACCTTTGCCGTGTGTATGTATTCGTTAAATATTTGTTGGCATTAGTGGCTACTAGGAGTATGACGAAAACATTGTCTGTGGCTTTAACAGGGAAAGTGGGAGGTTTGACAACGGCAGGTGCTGTAAAAGAAAAAAACTCTGTGTGCGAAAAGTATGCAATCATGTGTCACCGTTGTGTGTGTGTGTGTGTTTAGATGCAGAGTATTGAAATCAGAGCTTTGATGGTTCAGTTTAAATGAGTCCCATGGGACGGGAGATTCCAAGGATTAACTCTTTCTCCACCAGACGCGTGCAAACAAACTCAAACACACAGACAGACAAAATAAAAGTGAAGCATTTCAAACCTGAGTTAGCCAAAGCGATGGCCTTGAGAGCTACAAATTCCTCCTTCTCTAGCTTCATCGTCTTGTATTTCTTGACCAGCTGAAGGATGGCATTGTTCAGGTCCAGAAGTCCAGCTAGCTTCGACTGGTCCTCGTCCATTATGTAGTCCTCAGCATACACCAACTAAAGAGAGACACAAAGAGGTTGCAAATGAACATCGATACATGCATGTATTTATATATTTCACAAGATCAATAAGCAAAAAATACGAAAAGATGCTAACCTTGTCTTCAAAGGACAGTGAGCGGTACACAACACGTAGGATCAAGATCTCCATCCATGCACTCTGCAGTAGACTCATCTGGTCTGCCAAAGACAGCGTAGAGAACCCTGGGGGCGATTGAGACAAGCAACAGAGAGGATTGTTCATCTTTTAGCCCCAAAACAGCAAAGAGTTAAGCACTCTGTTTTTACTATTGTAAGTAGTCAACATAAACAGTCATGCTGAAAAAGTAAAACTAAGGTGGAGCAAATGAAAAGGAGTGAATAAAGCTGGTTTTGAAGCTCGTGCGAGGGTCAAGATCGGCTCTCCTCCCTTCCCTCCCTGCCCACCCTCCATCCATCCAGTTGACCAGAGTCCTCCTCCTCCTCTCTCCCCTGTGCCCAGGGCTGTTCTCTGGGGAAAGGCAGGCCTTATCTCCCCCTGACACAGCCTCCATGGATCAATGATGGCCATCGCTGCTGCACCTCTCAAACACACACATTAATTGCTGCTATGGCCTCAAAACTCCTGCTTGCTCTGGTGTCAATCCATGTCTTTCTATTTGCCTACGTCTATATCTGTCTGTCTCTCCAATCGCAATCCATGCCTTTTTATCTCTCAGTGTCTAACTACAACTGACCATCTGTGTGTCTGATTCTGGCTTCACCTTCTCTCCATCCATCTTGATACATCTCAAACTGCATGTCCGGTCTATTGGGCCTCTCTCTCTTTCACATGTTTTGCTTGCGGCATTATGGCTTCGCTTTCACTGTCTGTATTGAAAGACTCTTTTTCTACTTTCATTTTGTTTGTAATATTTCACTGCTTCATTTCATATCTTTCGATTACATTCTTACTGAAGCGCACCAGACTCTCTCTCTCTCTCTCTCTCTCTCTCTCTCTCTCTCTCTCTCTCTCCGTCAATATCTTTAATGGAACACCTGCCCACTCACACCTTTCCTCACAGCTGTCCTGGCCTCACACACCTGTTCATTCACACCTGCCTGTCTGCCTATGTGTGCATTTTAGTGTGTGTGCAAGTCTTCATAAGAAAGGTAAAGACAGTGGCCCATGTGAGCACACCTGTCAGACCTCACTGCAGCCCTCCAGTGTGTGTGTGTGTGTGTATGTGTGTGTGTGTGTGTTTGTGTGTCTGAGAGGAGCATCCTGCCAGGAGAAGCCGGCAGATGAGAGGGAAGATATTTCTTCATCAACATCTGCTGCCATGTGCCTCCTCTTGAGATGGTAGGTGTGTGGCAGTGTGTGTGTGTGTTGGTGTGTGTGTATGTGTGCATGTGCGTTAGGGGCTCTTATCTCACAGCGTGTTGATGGGTAATAGCATGCGTCTCATTATGTCCAGGTTGCAGGCTATTGTTGTTTGTAATGTGCTCTAATTCATTTTTCAACTGTTAACATATCCAACACACACTGACACACACACGCACATGCACACACACACACACACACACACACACATATATACAGTAGATAGAAACTGCTACCCAAACGCATACAGTATCACATATGCATAGACATAAATGCATAGGAACACACTGGAAGGAATCCAAATGTGAATGATTGATACACACACACACACACACGCACACACGCACACACACACACACACACACACACACACACACACACACACACAAACACACACACACACACAAAGCACAGTGAAGGGAGCAGTACTGTTGCCAACTGGCAGTGTCTTCTTCTACTTAATGAAATCATCAGAAGGGATTAGAGGTGAATTTCTTAAGGGGGTCTTCATGCACACACCCAGATGTACACACACATCTCTTTCAAAGAGGCAGATGTCTTAAGGGGGTCCTTAGGACTTCACCACTCATCGTGGGCAGGGGAAATAAGCATGGGCACTGCTAAAATGAACGCACACACTTATTGAATCTGTTTAAACCCTGGGGTCAAGTGAAGAGAACAGGACATGAGTAAGGGGTTAATATCATTTAATGGTGTCACTGGTTGTGTGTTTTAACTTGTCTGTGTGTGTTTTTTCAGTGCTCTAGCAGTGGGAGCAACACGCAGGGTTCAATCAATTCACCCACATCCCTCTGGTGGAATTTGATCCAGGGCCAGTGGAGGCACACATGGCTTAAAAATTTGGCAAACACACACTCATGTGCACACACACAGAATCACGGATACACAAAACAAATTGTAAATGTCATCCAAAACAGGCTTGAATGACTAGCATTAAGTTTATAATATGATTAGCCCATACCTCATACATCAACAAACTTCTCCCTAATTACACATAAAAATGCACACATACGTGCACAAACACACGCACAAAGGAAATACCGATAATTAAAACCCCTGTGATTAATTTATTGAGCTGAAAGTGCAGCTTTTCTTATTGAGGTACACATCAATGATTTTTATCAGGACACGGTTTGTGTGTGTATCTGTGTGTGTGTGTAGGTGAGAGTGGTGTGTGCTTTTGTGAATATGTGTATGCTTTATATTGCGTACTTGAACATAATGTACATGTACATACCTGTACGTGTGCTGGATTGTTGTTTTGCCAGCATGTTTGTATTCTTTGCATATGCATACATTCCCATACATGTTCCTGTGCGTCTCTATCTGTGTGTATTTCTGTGTGTCTGTGTATGTGCGCCTCTCCGACACCTCCCCTCCCCACCAGCCTGTCTGCGCTGTTCAGCCATCCAATGCCTCTTATCTGTCTGATTAATAGGCGGCCAGCTTCAGGACAAATTAATTAACAGATAACGCCATCTCTCCCTTCTTCGCTTCCTCCCCTCCTTCTCATGAAGCGATCGATACAGCAGAAGAAAAGAAACATCAATGGGAATTTAGTGCTGATGATGGAGAGAGAGAGGTATTGATGGAGAGAGAGAGAGAGAGAGAGAGAGAGAGAGAGAGAGAGAGAGAGAGCATGAGAATGAGTGAGACGATGGAAAGAAGAAAGTAAAAGGGAGAGAGGTGTTAGACGGAGAGGTGGTGGTGGAGATGGTGCTGGGAGGGGTGGAGACCTTTCTTTCATACCTGTGATTTCACTTGACAAAAGAAGGTTCCCTATTTGGCTCTAATTACATTTCCTTTCTGCCCATTGTTGATAAGGTATCTCATACTATGTGTGGGAGTACGAGTGTGTTTGTGTATGTGTGGACGTTGTGCAGCCTGTGTTTACTGTGGTAAAGGTGGGCTGAGCTGAATGTACAGTAATGTACAATGAAAATGAAGTTCAAAGCTTTGCTTAAATATATTAATATAAACTTTAAAGGAGAGAAAATTGCTACAGGACGTGACCTGCAAGTAAAGCTTTGTGTTCCCTAGACACCATTATTGGACATATGCTTATGTCTTTGAATGAACTCTACATCTTCTCTCATCTCTCATTACTTAGAACATACCACTTCCTGGCCTGGATTTACTAACTAGTATATCACAGTTGGATATAAACTACCAAACACAAGTGTGTACATACTGATTGGGATGAGGTAAGGTGTGCATGAGGTCAAGTTAATGACCCAGACTGTGTATTTAGCTGGATATGTGTGTGTGTGTGTGTGTGTGTGTGTGTGTGTGCTTTTGTTCGGGGTGTGTAAAATATTAGGACGCTCTCTTGTATCTTGTATCTATGAAGGTACAGGGAGAGAGAGAGAGTGAGAGAGCGTGTGGTGTGTGCAGGTATGTGTGTGTGCCATACATTGGTCTGACAGAAAGAGGCTGCAGTGCAGTCATGCAGACTTAACCTCTACTGCTTGCTCTCGCGCTCTCTTTCTTTTTTCCTCTTCCTTTTGCTCTGTCAGACACACACATGAAGGCAAACACACACAAACACACGTCGATTCCCCAGCCACCCTGCGGCCTGTTTGTCTGCCAAATGAGTCCTGACTGCACGTTTACACCCGAGACCGCACAGCAGTCTGGCACAGACGCACACACACACACACACATAGGATAGCCCTCTCTCACGCCCCAGTTGCTACAAAGACACACACCAACACACATATCCAGGAGGCCTATATTTGTTTTCTTGTGGTTACAGGGCAAATGGGAACCAGTGAGAACCGATTGTGATGCTTATGAGTACATGTGCACTTGTGTGTGTGCAGTTTGTGGCATTTGTGAAGCTACTTGTATGTGCATGCGAGTCTGTATGTGTTTGCACGATAGGGCCTATGTGTATCTGCAATGCCTAATGCATCAAAGAAGCGTATTCTGTGTGTGTGTGTGTGTGTGTGTGTGTATGAATGTGACAGGTGTGAAAACTGGTTGTAATGCTGATCTGGTCCCAGTTATTAACACATGACTAGTCTTCATAAGCTGTCACTGCGGAGAAAAAGACTTTTGGCATAAATGTGGATGTGATTTGATGATTCTAGGTAAAACTGAGGAAGTGAAAGTAGATCCTATCTGTAATATTTCCCTGATACGTGTTAGCCTGTACATTACATAGACTGCACACGGAACTGAAGAATTTGTCTCTTTGGCAACATTTTCTTGCACATCACATTGTGAGGGGAAGTTAAAAATGTCTCAATTTAAGTAATGCGACAATTGTGATTTTAAGATGACCGCCTCATCCTTTTCTTCATTAGCAAATACAAACATGTCTTTCTCTTGACCATTTCAAGTTGATGTCATTTATTTCTACGGCATTGTTGTGTGTCTGCAGACAAAAGACAAATGTTCAACAAAATATTCAACAAATGTTGAATTCAAAATGAATAACATATACCTTGAAGTGTCACTGATGACAACATTTTCTATTTGCTTTGAAACCGACAGATCAGCAAGACATTGCCAGGGTGCTGCCAGCAGAGATGCAGGTCAGCTCAGTGCTGCTGCACCACATTTGATCTGAATGAGCCAACTATCAACTTAACCCCCAGTGTGGAACTGTGGCCTGCACAGAATAGGCCTTGAGCAGTCTGTCTTGCATCTCGTAAGTCTAACCTCCAAAGCACTTGCCACACACATTTTGCAAAAAAATGTAGTGTGCAGACCAGGGAGTAGAGTTGGTGGTGGTGTTGATGTCTGGTGGATGTGATCCTGGTGTGATACTAATATGCATAATTTTTGAGGCTTATGAATTTAAAATGACATTTTTTTTCAAGATGATTTTTTTTCT